TAGTAGTTCTGAAGATAGAAGGCCAATGGATACATCCCAGTTGCTGTTGCTTATGATTGACACGCCACCGCAGAAGCTGATCGGTTAGTATATTCCCTGGGATACATGTCTGTTGTTTTGTGGTGACATCTAGGGGTTATTTCGTTTCGAGAGGAGGGTGGGGGTAATGATGAGCCAAATGTCTAAGAGTTTGTGTAACAGCATATATTTACTGCATTGTGTGGGGAATTACCGGCAATAGCAGCTGTTTACCACATCACTCCATTCTTTAGTTGCTCACTGAGTGATGTGTGTGGCTTTTGCTGGAACTGTCCCTGTGCTTGGGGTTCGTCCATTTATTACCGTCAGGATGCTTGTCAAAAATCATTCTAGAAGCTTTCAGAATGGCATCTACATGTTTTTCAAAGTGTGATGTAAGTTTAAAGTTCTTCGTTCACTGGTATCTGGGGGCTTCATGGCTGTAAAATATTCCCTGTATGAATATCATATTTTGCCATTATCGTTTTACATATGGCTCATCATAATATTATGTTAGCTTCAGTGCATTGTTTCAACAGCATGTAAACAATATTTCTTAATGGTGTGCATGTATTACAGATAGTTTTCTACCTAACAATTTTTCACAAGCTATGTTTTAAGTAAAATAAGATGAAGTTGGGAGAGAATATGAAACCAAGAAAGAATAGATATGAAATGAGCTATTTTGTGCATATTTTTAGTGTGAGGAAAAGAATATCGGCTAAGATTCTCACCAGTTTGGTAAAATATTTAGACATCAGATGTTCCCTGTCTAATAGTTTTGAGAACTAAAGCAGACATCCTCTTGCAAATTACACTAAGGAAGCCCACAGGTTACTCTACTAGCAAAATTCAGTTTTAATAAATTCTGAATTTCTATTAAAAACGAGATGTATCCTTATTAGTTAGAGACTAGGAAATTATCTATTGCATATATTTGAAAAGTTGGAGTATAATCATTTGATGTTTTATGACTTGTTCTGATGAGCTGATGTCTAAAGAAAGAAGCTTATTCCTGTAAATATGTATTAACTTCATTGCTTGTAAGTCCTTCACTCTAGTTACTTTAAGAGTGATAAATCAAATTTTCGCAAATTATACTGCCTTTTCTTACTATACAGTAAATATGTTACATGTAAATTTGAAAATATAACAAATTTTTTCTCAAGTAGATATATTTTATACCACTATGAATTGTTTTCACCCTGATACCATTCTCGGATGTATTTGTGTTTAATTACAGTTATCCAATTGTTAAACTGGTTTAAATTTCTCCTCTTGTTGTAAGGGAAAAAAAACAATAGAACAAATTTAAAAAAAATTATCAAGAAAAAAATTTGTTGGCCCTACATTCAGAACAACTTCAAAAAGGGAGGCACATCCTGTGTTTGCTCCAAAGAAGATCATGATAAAAAACTAATTATTCTGCTTCAAGCATAAGGATTAATTTAGGCAACTTCATTTGTGAATTACAAATTTTAAATTTTTTGTTAGGTATAGGTCTTTTTGGGTGAATAAAAACCATACCATGTTTTGTGCAATGAGATGAGCAAATATTTCTGAAATAATTTTGCCGAGAAACATTTCCTTACTGCACAGCAATTTATCGACATATCCTTGTACTTGTCTGTGTATTAGTGTACAAGTTTTTCATGATTGATAATTTTGATGTTCCGTGTTTAGACTAAGACTTAAATACAAGTTAGAACCAACCTCATTATAGACAAATATATTTTTACACACATACATACATTTTATTGTATTGTCAATAGTTTTTAAAGGTTTTGATATTCCTGAATACATCTTTTTCAATTCACATTTTCAAATAAGGGTTTGTCTACAACTGATCTTACCACTGTGTATTTGAAATTAATTTACAAACAAAGATTATTGAATTAAAGAATTCTAACCAAGTTATACTAAAATTAAAATTCAATTTTATTTACTCCACTGCCAAATTAATTCAGGCCCTGAAAACAGTTTGTCATCATTCTGCTTATTGGTAGTTGTCAAAAAACTACTAACATACAAGTGGCATCGGGTTTATTCAGAGACGCAGATAATAGAGATCGCTTGTGAGAATGACACATCACCACATGAACCTCCGTCTCGTGTGTCTATCTACTGTCCCTTCCTTCTCGCTCCCGTCTTCCCAGGTCTACTAGCCCACTAGCTCTGTCCAGAGAGGATTTAACTTGCACTGCCAAGACAGCCGCTCATCTCACACTCTGCTTCCAAAAGGACTTCAATAGGCTTCATGTGACCGGCGGCTGTCGTTGCATTTCGTGGGCCTTCCTCTTCATTGTCGACCTTAACCACTTCATAACGGCCATGACCTTTGATTTCACTGACATTGTATGGCCTGAGGTATTTTTTCTGGATATTTAGTCCTGGCTCGAACTGCGCTTCCTTCATTGCTACTAAATCACCCTCTCTGTAAGCCCTTGCCGCGACAGCTTTCTTGTCGTGCGTGGCCTTACTTTTTTGCTGAATTTTTAAAATGTTCTTCATTGCGACTCAAGGCATCCTTTTCTTCTTCAAACACCTTCGCGGCTTCTTCTAAAATGTTATCCTCTACCAAATCGTTGGACTGTTCTTTGATCACTAGCTGTTTGATCACCTGGAGTCGTTCCTCTTGATATTGTTCCCTCTCAAACAATGTTGACACTGGAATGGCATACTCACTTGCGCTTGGTCTTACTACACCGGCTCTTAGCCATTGTTCGACTTGCTCATTGACGATGCATCTTTCTTTCGGGGCCAATCTTGGTAGTATGCTGATCGGCTCTTCATCCTTTAACTTAATCTTAAGAATGACACTCGACTTCACATCCGTCTCTGGTTTGTAGTTAGCTTCCAGTTATTCGACCTGACATTTAAGGGGTTCATGAGCGTCAATTTCGGGCATTTTCACGCATTTCAAAACACTAAGCTCTTTATGACGCTACCAACTGGGGCCTTTGCATTCAGTGTCCGCCATGATTGCAATCCGTTTGGTAGAAATCTTCCCCTGCTTGATAGTCACCTCCCCATACTTCATCCATTCCTGACCTAAGGTAAATTCCGCATTCATGGTTTTCGCCGGTACGACGTACACTAGAGCACTATAAGTTTTGCCACCAATGTCGACTTCCCATTCCATCCCCATGGGTTTCACGGTGGCGTTCCCCAATCCCGTAAATAATCGTGACGTAGCCTCCAGAGTTGGACCTTCCACTCTCTTGTATGTCCCACTGCATCAGGTTGACATCAGTCCAGGTATCCATTAGTGCACGACACTCCACTCCATTTGTGATTGGAAGAGAACCAATATTTTTGTCCTCGCTGGAATGGATGCAACCTACCTCCCATTTCTCCGAGCATCTGCGAGAAGTGTGCCTGAATATGTTGCATTTAAAGCATTTGGGCTTCTCGTACGGGCACGCAGATTTCTCGTGATCTTTAGATCCACAATGAAAACACCGTTTTTGCTGGCAGTCTGTCGTTCTTCATTCTTCGTTTCCTTGTCGGAGTTTCCATTTTTCTTCAGTTCTTATACTCCACACTGTTTTTAAGTGACGTGTCTTGTCTTTCATCCTGTCATATATTCCCAGTTTCTTCCTCAACTCTTGAATTGTTTCCACGCCATAAAGCATTACCTTGTTGATCTCGCTGTCCGGAATACCAACTATGATGTACTCAACGCTTCTTCGATCTTCCCGTGCGCAATCTCCATCATTGAGTGTATATACAGGTGTCATGTTTCGTTGTCCGCCCGCGTAGGTTGACGCAATTGGTTGTGGATCACTGCGGAGTTGATTCTGGCAGCGACGGCTGTCGGACGGAACTCGTGACACAACGCACTTCTGAATTTATGTCAATTGGACGTCTTTATTTGCGACATGAATTTCTTTACGGACCCCTGCAGCATACGCTCCGCATGTATAATTTTCTGTATGTCATTCCAATGCAGGAGCTCGCTGACGTCCTCGAATTCGCGTTTCCATTTTTTGTGACAGTCCATCAACCCCGGAGAAGTGATATAAGCTTCCTTCAGCCCCCTTCGCTAATGGTGCATGAACATGCTGTGTGGCGTCCATATTCGTTCGTCGTTATTGAGGACGTGGTCCTCGTCGTCGGCTGCGCCGCCGTTCGTGATCGTACTGTCGGGCGTACTGCCCCGCTTGCGCCTACCGTCTTGCTCATATGCTCCGCGATAGTTTCCCATATCCGTGTTGGGATTCATAGTTATGTCTACTGTTGAAGCGTGGTTCGCTTGATTCCCTTCCTTCATTCTGCCTCTTTTCGTCCTTCGTTCGAGCCCGATATCTTTATCAACATTGTCCCCGTCGACAATAATTCATCGTTCCTTTTGTTTCTTCTCATTGTCCTCCGTTTCCAATTCCACTTTTCTCGGCGTCGCGCTTATATTGTATATTCGCGACATCTGTCCGATATTCTGATATTCACTTGACGACGCGCTCGACGAACTTTAGGATCGCAATTTTACTCTAGCTGCTCCTTTTTCATGAAAACGCGAGATGCCCAATTCCTTTTCGCTTTCACACAGGTACCCAATCTTTCTGCTCGAGCTTACCGGGTGGAAGATTGCAACCCTTGTCTTCCCGCCCCCTTCCATACACCTATGTTCCTTTCCATGCTTTCTTCGAGATGTCGGCCTTTTCATCTTCTTTAAGCTTGACAAATATTAGTGCGGTCTTAAAGCTTTCTATCCGCGCTTTTTGTCTCCTGTAGTTGACAGACCTACGCCCAATGCTTCTATAGCCTCCTTCAATTGCTACTTCTAAAATGCCTCCACTTTGCTACGTCTTTTTCTTCTTCGGCTGGCGTGGCCGTACCTTCTATGTTTTCTTCCGTTTCGACCTCTGCTTTCTTCATATCCCTCTCCTCACTACTGGGCATCTTGATAAAACCTGCTCCAACTTACCACTCACTTTTACGAACTGCCCAACAGCGATTCGCCGTAGTTTTGACAGGAACTACGTCAGCCTCTTAACCTTCAATTCGGAACGCGATGATTCTCTTTTCACTTATACGCTCCCGATTAAGCCCCCATGTGGGATCGGGTTTATTCAGAGACGCATATAAATTCGAAATGTTGGTTTATTTATAACTTACAGGTGTACACCAAATATAGACATTTGTGAGAATATCACCACTTGCACCTCCGTCACATGTCTTTCTACTGACCCTTCTCACTTCCGCCTTCCCAGGTCTACCGTCCCACTAACTCTGCCTAGGGAGTATATAACTTGCTCTGCCACGTTCAGCTCATAAATCATTCATCCCACATACAATACACCGCAAGAAAGTTTTCAGACACAAGCGTATAATAAGACTATAGAGTCTCATATCAGAAAATACCATGTATGAAATTGTATCTTTTTGAAGTCATCAAACCATCCCCCACCCCCACGTGCATACTGCTTCAGCAGGTGCAAGTACCGTTATCTAGGGGGGATCAGCATTTTAGTTGAATCCCAATTTTTATCCAAGATTGTTAGCCCTGGAGGTATGGATGATATGATGATGATAGGGAGGGATGAAAGGACTGCACACACATATAGACATAAAAAAAACACCCATGCTCGAGGCAAGACTCGGACCCGTGATCTTCTGGGCTGAGATGACTACGGCGCACTACTGCCTTAACAATCTCGGCCATCTTGACCGGCTATTTTACTATTATTGATATAACCATTTTGATACCATGCTTCTTTGTTGCCCCTTTGCTGTACTCCGACTGTTTTCTTATAGCCACCTTTGTTAGTTGGCTACTTTCTCAATAATTATTATACCAAGTAATGAAAGAATTTTATCAGGAAAATTTAAGACAGATGGAGAATATATAAACATAATAAATATTTTGTCAGGAAACTGGATGAGATTGAATTGTGAAATAGGAGAAATTTATATGTGCAACACTTTCTACCATGGTGATACATTTATTGTATTCCATAGGGTACTGGAGAAGACTTGTCAGAAGTCAAGAATTTTACATAATTATACACACAAATAACTCCCTAACTCCACCCAATTCATTGTATAAGTCAAATCTAAGAAATCTAGTACATATAAACCGTACTTTTAAAACATGAATACAGCATGGTGAATAAGTAAGGGGTCCACAAGCGAATTGTAAGTTAGTACATACTTATCAAACAACATGACAAAACATGCAGTAACTTTTGATTCCCTTTTTATTACATTTGGCATCACTCAAATGTGGTCCCTATTCTTATGCACAACTTTGTATGCATACATTTATATACAAATTCATTATTGTATTTTCAGTTGCACATATGGACACAATTTCTCTGTTATATACCATTTACTATAATTCCTTTTCCTGATACTCTAAAATCAAGATTGGAGCATTTTTCATGATGCAAGATTAAAAAATTATATCTTGAGAACAAGCCACATGTGTCAGCATACTGCACAGGAACACATTGTCCACAATAAGAACTGAAAAACAATATATTGAAGTAAATTGACTAACATTCTTGATGCATGGTTTACTGCTTGTGAGTATTCCAACTTTCACCAAACTTTATGTAACTATTCCGGTGACAAGATATACATAACCTGTCTCATCAAGTTCTAATATTTGTGCTCTTTTATTACAATATACAGCCCACATAAAGTCAATTGAACAATGATGTACCATATAGATATATACTAACAAATTGAACAATATTTTATAGACAGAAAATAAAATAGACCTGTGATTACAAACTATAAGGCAACCCTTAAAAACCAGTGACAACCTAACCACTGACTGCCACAATGGGGAGAACTCACAAATCATGCTTATGAATGTTATGTAACAGAAGATAGCTTCTTGTTCATAATGGATCAGACAATGCAGTAATGGGATAGGGAAAGGGCAAAGGCAGATATGAGTGAAGATATACAATTCCTTTTGCACACTGTACCAGTCATGAATGCAAATATTGAGAACTATTTCAAATACCTCTAAAACCATTTTGGGTCTCTGGACTGAGGTTTAAAAAAACGGAACGGTCTGTTCCACTTCAAGGTTAAATGTAATAGATATTAATCTATTAGACTACTTTTCTTGGCCACATTCAAAAGTATGTTAGGCGATTGTTTCTCCTTTTTGGATCTGTTGGTGACTTAGAAACCGTAAATACCTCAAATTACTATTTTTTTCGTGAATGGTGAAGAAAAAGTGTCATTCAATTAAGAAATATTAATAACAATGTAAAATTCATACTTGGATGAAGAAACTATAAAAAATGTTTGATTTTCTAATATAACTTCTAGAAAAAGATAATTACATAAACCATTGTTATTGAAATTCACATGCTATTTCAAATCTTTTTTCTTTCTTTAGACATTTCATTTCTAACACTTTTTAAATTGTTCTTAAATGGTTCTAAAAATACAATTTTATATCATTACAAAAAACTAAATTATTTAATTTTGATAAATGAAACAGGCCACTTAAAAAATAAAGCATCTACTATATAAAAATAAAATATTTATAAATGAAAGAGCAGTTTGGTGGCTAATGATATTAAAATTCACCCTAAAAGTAATGCACAAGTATGAAGTTGGATCTTTAACATAAAGTGCAGTCTAATTAAAATAAGTATGGGATTGAGACTAGTCCAAAACTACAAATAACAGCACACAAACATCTACTTTGTGGAAATAATGAGCACTGGAAATAGTTACCATGGAAACATCTTGGCTTAATCAGTGTCATATCTCATAACCAATAGCAAAATTTCTCAATAGTGCACAAACTAAGAAAGATAATATTAAAGATATGGGTACAAAATATTACATATATGTTTCAGATAATGAATCAAAATAATTAACACTATTCCATTAGACAACAAATGAATAATATTTAAAGAACTTTTGTCTTCATTATGTCAAATTAAGCACTGTTACATATTTTATTTTATTAGTTATAACTACCAATGATTTTCTTACTGAACACTAGTTTTTTAATGATATCATCTTAATAGCTTTGGATAAAAATTCAATTTTCTTTTACTCAGTTTAGCAACAAACACACTAATACAAAACTTTATTGTATGTCTTGGGGTTGAATTCTAGGTACTGAACAGGTTTGATAGAGAGCTTGAATAGTAAAATAGGTAAGATTATGTGATTGCGATGGCTGCAGATAGAAGCATACTGACTCAAGGGAAGGCATGTGTTATTTCAAAACGACTTGGTAACAGAGTGGCCTCGCACGAGCCACTGGACTCGCTTTCAGGATTTGCACCACAAACAATCCTGTGCAAAAGGAATTGCCCTTTTGCGTCCCGGGGGAGAGAGGAAGGGGAGGAGGACGTTCTTCCTACGGCGACCGTTATCACAGACGAGCGAGCAGTACGTGGCCTCTAGGCCAAAAAGTGGGGACGCCGGCGACGCTGTAGCCAGGCCAGCACCAGGTGCACCACGACGGGCCAAGCTGCTAATAGGAGCACCGTCCGCGGCTCCAGGTCACGGATAGGCCACCACCGAGGGCCTCGCCGCATCACAGCCCCTGCGCCCGTCTCCCCTCCGGCGCCGGCCCCGCCGCCTGCGCCCACCTTCTGCAACACAAACACACGGGAAAATGCACAAGGACTCAGAAAGTGGGTTTAAGAATGATGAGGTGTGTGGGTGTATTGTGTGTTTATAATCTTTATAAACATCACAGGATAAATTCATCAATCATCAGGTACGGTGATTCGGTCATTAAAGACAAAATTCAACATCACACGTTTCTCGAAAAAAGTTCGAAATCATGATTGTTTATGAAATTTCTTTCAAAGAAATCACCAGAACAGTCTGTAAACTGAAAATACCTAGCTATTCAGCTGGTTAAAAATAATTCCCATATTCTTTACTAAAGATATGTGCGTCCTTCTTAACACACAATAATTTGTATATAATGTTTTTTTATACACAGGAATACTTCTAGTTCTTTTCAAATCAACTAACAATAAGCCACTCTTCAAAAAAGGAAACAAAAAAATAATAATTAAATATATTTAAAATACGACCAATTTCTCGTTTGTTAGACTTTTCAAAAATATTAGAGTGGATTTTATATAAACCTATGGAAACGTCTCAGGAAAACGAAGGGTTTACAGGTTCCACGTATTTAGAATATAAAAATCTGCAGAAACAGACATTTCCATTTCTTAAAGATGTTGCCTTTGCGACCCAGAAAAAGAGTGTACACGCGCAAGCTGATGCAAGGATGGTGTAGCAGAGAAGCACTATGCGCAGCTTTACAATACATCTCTTTACTAGGCGAGTAAGTAGTGTGGCGAGAATGTAAAAATAACTGTTTTTGGATAATCACATTGAAATATCGATTTATTCGGTAAATTATTAATAAAATATGTCCGTGCAAAAGATTATCGTTTGCAACTTAGTATTATCTTCTCGTTTTATGTCCACATCCGCGCACAAAATATGCGCGTGAAATATACAAGTGAAAGTCATCACAGATGTGCAGAAAAACGACAATCTTGATTAACGGTATGGGACTTCAGATAAATTACGATTACTTGGTGATTGTTATACATTCATTCAAACGTCAAGAGCATTGCAAAAATTAATAAGAGATTTATCCAAAGAATAACAATCCATTGTGTAAAGTCTGTAAGTAAGAAATGCATAAGTCAATAAACCGCAACAAAGTTTAATTAAAGATCTAATGCGGTTCAAAAGTATATATTTAATTACAAATAAAAATATTTATGAGGAATGATGTACAAATCTCAATACATCAAATATGTTTTATAATACCCGGCGTTGGTAGCCGAACTGCTTAAATACGCTCCGTGAAGCCACGAAAGCTAAGCAGCTCGAGACACCGAGGGTCCCTGGAGGGGTAACCGTCCGTGAACACCACATATTAATGGCGCCGAGCCCCTGGGATAAATGGCAATGACTAGGTTGAAGGAGAATTACTCCACGTTTAATGGCTGAGGACGAAGTTAAAGGAAAATTACTGTGAGCTTAATGCTGAATAAAACTTGGAACATTGTTTGGAGAATATGGCTATATGTGCGCATTATTTTAATACTCGTAGTGGTACGACTCCACTTTTTAATCATATTGAGTTAATTCTATTTTCACACCCACACAAGAGGTATACATTCACAATGAAAGTGTTACAAGTTCTATCTCAGCCGGCAAGACGTAGCCTACAGACGCACAAAATGCAATATATTAAAGACTGTACTCACTGGCTTGCTCTCACATCTCGGAGGGCACGTGCGCTCGTTTTCTGCCTGTGAAATACGTATATACGTAGGTCTGTCAAGAGTTGGAACAGTTCATTCTCGCATGTTCCCGCGGAGCGACCTCTGTGCGCAGTGTGCATACGTAGTTTATGTTTCGATTGTGATAAGCACATGAGCTCTCTTACAAAGAAGAAAATAATTTGTAGCTGACTTAATTAATTTTCACCCTTTTTCTTCGCAAAACTACGAGAAACTACTAATATTTACAAACTAGGGTTGCTACAACAGGGCATTCTTTCTCGCTATTTCTAAAATTGCTCTTGTAATTTTCGAAAATTCTAAGAGTTCAACGAAAATGAGACCTGCGTCATTCTTTTAAGCGTTCCTTATTCTATTCTAGGAAGAAAAAAATTAACGCGTTGACTACTTCGCTTTTTTTAAAAAAATAGTACCTTTTTAAGGATCTGATTTTTACTTTCTCGCTACGCAAAGTAAGGCTCGAATATTTTCAAATCGGGCATCACCACGTCACTAATAATTGCTTCTTAAGAAGGAAAAGCCATTTAACAAAAATAAGTATTTAATGCTTCGGCTAACATATTCATTGACCTAAGTGAAGATTAATGAACAAACTTCACTGGGATTTTTTTAAGCAGTTTTTTTTGTACGCTCAAAATACGGCCATATTAGATTTTAAATTAGGTTACCTGATTCCTACTGCTGGCGTCTCTGGCAAGCATGGCGCGTTCCAGAGAGCCCAGTCGTGATGTCACTTGCTGCAGGTCCTGCTGCAGGCGAGCCACCGCACCGGCGATGGACTCCGAGATGTCAATTGCAGCCGCGTCGTTCTCTGGAGCATACGAAACGATACTTCAAACTAGCTGTATAGCCATCACCACTATGCAGTATCCCGCATCAAAGGAATGTAACGCATGTTTACTATAATGTTTTGACATACTAACTTAGGGAGTAGTCATAATCAGACATGATCATTACTTACAAATTGGGTATGTAATTTTTGATATGCCATCATATAAAAATATATTTTATGAGATAAATGTACTTTTAAGAACTTGTGCTTTAATCGAGCATACACTTGAAACTTAAATTACGTTTGTTTAAGCATTACAAAGATAATAATGAACGCTACAGAAAATCCTTTTATTTGAAATTTGGTATTTTACTATTTTTCTCTAAAATAAAATCGTAGAGAACACTTAAATGCAACGCGAAAATAATTTTCAATAACAAGATATTCGTAAACAATTAGACCCGAAACTATTCTTGACGCATGAAGAAAGAGGCTTCCGCGGTAGGAAATGGAAATCTTGGGCGGAGTAAATGGAATCCTGGCTAAATTTGTGCCAAAGAAAACAATATTTCCAATTTCAATCACGCAAAGTACTACTTTATTACTAAATTATTACTTCATGGTCTTTGTTAAGATGGAGCCTCTTTATATGACAGTAATGTTCGAATTTTTAAAATCTCATTATTATGATTTAAGCGAATTAAAAAACCCCTGGTGATTGTTAAAATTCCGATTTTGCTGCTCTAAGTTAAAACAGATCTTCGCCAAGCCACGTCCTTGATAACACTTAAAGCACTACCTCTTTTCCGATTGAAACGGGGAAGTTCAATTAAAAATTATGCGAATTCCGCTCGCGTTTTCAAAAACAGCCCAATCTCAGCTTACAACGTCCATTGATTTTCTTTCCTAAAAAGATCACCCATCAATGCACACTGCCATGTAAATGTTAGTAATTCCTTCTTCTTTGCATAGATACATCAATGTGCAAATAAATGTGCGTACGTTGATTGACATTGTCGCATATTTTTGAAAACAATTCCAATCTTTATTTGTTTTGTTAACAACTACAGCATTTTTTGACACTTGATATTTTATTTTCATATTCTTTAAATCTGCATGATAATTGAAACAGTTTGAAAGGAGGCTGCCAAACTTGCTCTTCACAATACTACGAGGTATGCTAAACAGGACCTACATGGACACATACATTTTGAAATGTTGCAATCCCTAATGACAATTGAGATAGGTTCTCGTATAAAAGAGGAACCACTACATTAGGCATACTCAACGAGCTAGAATGCACTACATAGAGTAGCTGACCCTATGGTTTCAGCGCTCTTGGTGACGCTCGCCTGTTTTTTGCAGTCAAAACATGAGAGGTGCCTGATAGTGGCGTGAAGAACTTGTACTGACTCGACGTGTTGTTTGAATCAGATATTATTTCTGTATTGTTGTCTTTTCGTTTATCTGTATTTAAATTATATAAGTGGTTAGAACAATAATATTCACATACACATATACATGCCTTCAGTATATTCGACATGTAACTGTAAAACTAGATGTCATCAAACCACAAATATATCATATTCACACCACATTTATTTTTCAAGTTTGTCGCCTAATTTGTGATATGTTTGCTTCTTATTTCAGTAATATTCACTTTCAGGCGTTAACTACAATAACATTTCAACAGCTTCCTTTCTTATGACAATAACCGATGTAGGAAGCAACGTATTTTTATAGTTTCCCAATTCGGTCTCCTTACATATTGTGATTTTTTTTAAATGATTGGTTTGTGGTCGTGAAACACATACTAGGAAGAGGAATTGTATTACGCTCGGTGGCGTCCTTAATTAGTCTTTGTAGTGTTCCATGTAAAAATCTTAATGATAAATATATTGATGATATTTTAGTGTGAGTAGGTCACGAGATTCGAATTCGTTGTGGCAGTAACTGAATCTTCAGTTATCTTCGATGCATGTTTTAAGGTATCAATGACGGCGCACAAGGCCGAATGTCGGTATTGCGCCCCCCCCCTCCAACACAGAATTGAGTTGGATCCGTCTCCAGAAAAAATCCTCTAGATTTACTACAAAATCAAAACTACTAGAGAACAACTTTTTCAACAAATACAAATGAAAATTATGAAATTGCTTATAGAATTGACATTATTTTTTATACAAATACATTTTAATACCTCTATTACTTCTAGGCTGTCCGGGTGACGCCGCGTCGTTGGCAGATAGGCCGACGTTTCGCCTGTCATGTCGCAGGCTTCTTCAGGGTACTGCCAGTATCGATTTTCACTGTGTAGGAGCCGGGTCTTATCGAATTCAATAGCATGTCCTGTGACCTCGGAGTGGAGGGCTAGACTGGCCTAGACGCGTAAAAGAGGCAATAGAAATCAGTAGACGGCCGCAAAACATCAACGCGGATGCAGGCCTTAATCTAAGCCACGCCTGGAAGTATATTTTGCCACCGATGCCTGACGGCGCGGGGACTGTTCCTCTCCGTCCGATCTCTAGGACGGCGGGTGCGAGGCCCGGGTTGGCCCAGACCGCGAGCCAATCAGAGGGACCTCTCCGCCAATCACGGCGCACTTGCGTTACCCGACCACTAGCTGAATAAGATATAACACCGGAGGCGGATCTTTACTATGTCAGTACCCTGAAGAAGCCTGCGACATGACAGGCGAAACGTCGGCCTATCTGCCAACGACGCGGCGTCACCCGGACAGCCTAGAAGTAATGGACTCGAGCCGCGGAAGCCTACGTGTACATTTTTAATACCTCGTCTACAGATACATTTTACCAGCGTCGCGAGGTCTCTTGTGGACGGGGGAGCCCTAAGCAATCACATATTTTACTTGTAGGTACATCCGGCCCTGATGGCGCATCGTGCGTTGGGGCTGACGAGGAACGTCCCGGCTCGCGTGGGTCCCACGTCGTTAGCCGAATTGCTTAACTGCGCTTTGAGAAGTCACGGAAGTTGAGCAATTGGAGACCCCACGAATTCCTAGTCGGGTGACCGTCTGGGAACTCCGATTACATAATTACCATTATGAAAAAAGAGACGACGCTGCATATAAAATGTTTTAATGAAATAATTTATTTTTCCTAAAGACAAAATAAATACTTGAATCATTGTCATCACTTTCACAATCACACGGTTGACCTACTCCATTATCATTACTGCCTTTTCCACTTTTGTACCAGAAGTATTTGGTGGATGATGAAATATCTCTCAACAATTAAAACTTTGCTTCGTTTTGCGTTGCAACAAACGCTTTGAACTTTTAAGCATGTTATTAAACAAAGCTTTTCTTTTTGGCATCCAGCTCGAAATATAAACACAAAGCAATATTAACTCCATAAGCCTGCAGAATAGTAATAACACCACAGAGCACATAATCTATTGCCAGCACCATTATACAATACGTTTTAAAATATATTGTACTAGCTCATGGCAGCACTGTCGCATTTCAGAGATCTTTTTGGAGAAAATGACATAAATGTAGATATAGTTGATCTATGGATTTTGACGGTTGTTAGGCGAGATAGTTGAAGGAAAGTGTCATTTATTGAGACATCAATGAAAGGTCATGATGTCGGGGACTCTAACAAAATGAAAGAAGTGCAGTATCCTTCGTTCATCATAAGTCTAGATTGCATTTAAAAGTAGTACTCCCTATCCAATAAAAAAAGAGGACATTTCATCCTTTCTTGTAAAATCCACGCAGACAGTTTTTCTTACTTCTAAAAGAGGACATACCCGAGGAAAAGAGGACGTATGGTAACCCTACGATTGCTAACGGCATCGAGCCCCTGGCCGAAGGAATAAAAGGCACTGGCTGATTGCGACATCATGATAAAAAATACATTCAAGGAGGATTACTCCAGGCACTCAATGCCCAAGGAGGTATTGACGTGTTGCGAAGACGCAACAAATTTAAATAAATAAATAAAAATAAATAATAAATAAATAAAACAAAAGTCGAGGTTTCTTACCTGTCGTGGATGGCAGCGTGCGATGCTGCACCGGAGGCGTGCGCAAGGGCGTGCGGCCGCGCTCGGGCGCCGTGAAAGCTCGTGTCTGGCTCGAGCCGTTCAGGTAGCCGTTTGCGTAGCCGTTGGCGTAACCGTTGGAGAGGCCATTGACGGCCTTCTTGGGCGCTGGTGCCGTCAGCCCAGCGTCCAGAGGCGCCTCCTTCACGAAGCGCTCGGGAGCGCCCTGTGACAAGTCGCGCGCGAAATCCAAAGAGTTTGTACATGGCCAACTTGCAGTGCGAACATAGTCGGACCGTTAGCTTTTGTACATAATGCGGTTGCATGCGACTATATCAATACACAAAAGCAAAAACCAAAACAAAAAGTTCTGAATACACGGCTACTATCATGTTATTACAGTGAAACAGCACCCGCTATAATAGTTTCGGCGAAATTTAACTGCTACAAGAGTCGCTTAATTAACAATATGAGGACCGGAAACGTGCACGGTAACTACTTGTGCTGCATTTTTGTACTAATAGATAAATAAAGTACATATTCCTTGAAATGTATTATTTGCTCTTAAGGTACAAAATAAAACAAACACGGAATCGAGACTCACTAGTCTCCTCTCGGCCAATGTTCAACACGTTAGACGACTCGTTTTCTTAACTGAAAAACTATTTTTCTGTCCTAACCGAACCGAATTTAATTTAAAACTACGACTTGAAGATGCAATTCTCATCCTGTAAAGCAGGGGTTACCAACCTCGATATCGATCGGGGGTCGATGAAATTTTGAAGGGGATCAATGACCAAGATGTTATTGGAGGTCCACAACAGAATTTGAACCGGTGATTTATAGGTGCAATCAAGAGCCCATTGATTACAAAAAATATTCAATGAACTTGATAGTGAAAGGTTTTCTGATATAAAACAAAACATAATAATAAATTACAAATTCACTTCTATTTTATAATATCCGTCATTCATACTTAGGATCAGGGGCGTAGCTACACTGGAGTAACCGGTACACTGAAACGGTCCCCTGAAGTAAAGGACCCTTAATCAGGACACCCGCGGACTGATGTTGGCAAAGAATACAACAAATCGCACTCCATTCTTATTTTCTCCATTCCAGCAGCCACATCATTATATCAATGAGATTTAAAACTCTTTAATCAACGTTTATTGCAGATAGGGACCCCATTCGATATCGTATATCGAGGACATTCATTAACCCGCATATACGTAAAGCAAATGCGATACTGACGAAGCCAATGGGATTGTCGGTCATTTACCGACACTATCAGAAAGCACTCCTGTTTTGCCTTGACGTGGCGATAAGTGTTCAAGGAATCTGCATTACGTCTGCTGCGCGAGAAGAAAATGAGACTTACGAAAGATGATTTCAATAACCTGCGAAATCGAAAAACGAACCAACGGCAAACATGCTCCCAGGACATTCTCACGCGGGTTAGTGTTAAAAATTGAGTACAAAACTCGGTCAAAAGATTTCGCGTACAGTGCACAACATACAAGATGTTTATAAAAATAATGTTACAGGCGAACTCATTCATTTTTAAAATGTACAATACTTGAGTTGATCAGGCGAGACCAGTGCAAACATTTCGATATAATTTGATCGTTTTCACATGAGCAGCATTTGTAGGGATTCGATTCGTCCCGGATAGTCCAGACAGTCATGGGTTCATGCGCGTCACGCAGTCGATAGTCATGAATATAAAACTCTCGCGTAGAGAATTTTACAAAAAAATTTCAAGACTTTCTAAAATATTAGTTATTTAGTTAAACGAAAACATTCTACAATATTGACAAATGTTAATATTCCCGTATAAATTTAGCTTTGAAAATTTTGTCCTAATAATACGGTACATGCAGGAAAAAGGGTAGTAAAAATTTCGAATGGAATGGTGATCTATACGCCTTAAAGATCAAGTATTAACATTTGACTTGCAATAAAATCTCATAAATTTTATGTGCTCGCCAGTCACATCTACAGATATTGTCTTTGTTACTTTAATTGGGATGCTCCATTCCCCTCCTTTTAGACTTACAATATTGTTTCGAAGCGAATAGTAGTGAGGATATCTATCATGCTATATACAGCTATCATGCTTAGTCATGGAATTCGTCGCCGGTTGCTAGGAGGGGGTTGGAAAATACTAGTTTTCTGTCTTTTTATATTAGGTTTGTTGATTTAAAATGTGTATTTGATTAGAGCAGTTACTTTTGTAGAAAGGTCTGTTGATCAGTGATTGACATTCCTCAGTGATTACATGCAGTCATTTTGCGTGTCGCATACGAGTGTATGCGATGATTCAAACCACAATTACTTTTTATGATCAGTTTCACTGTTGTTGCTGCTTTATTGTCGTGAACGATTCTGCTGCCGATGTCTGTAAACTGGAACCGACAAATGTTTCGAAATTAAGTAAGTATCTTTTCCGGGTTTGTGCATTAATTTTTGTGTGATTTTTATCGTTGAGTTGGTGAACAATAGAAGTGTTAAATATGTATTTCCTTGATATTAGACAATGCATTTAGGAGAAAATTTTTAAAATGCCCTTTGATTCACGTCCAGTTACACAAAAATTAGATATTAATAAACCAAGGAAAAGACAACTTCATGTCTTCAAAATTGTACTGAAAATGTAAAATCGTAAAAAACAGCATTTGATCGAAAATTCAAATGATTTTTCTTACAAGTTGCAGGTGGTTACGTGGGTACGAATCGAAGACATCTTCGGTTTGGTTTCCCAGCAACGTGTTTGGAGGTAAGGAGGAATGTTCGACGTATGGATTATAACAAAGTATAGCATTGTGAATTTTTTATGATTAATAATTTAAACCATATCGTAAAAAAATCGAAAAAACATGACGCTTCTCGAAACCACAAACAAATGCAGCTATCGTTTGTTGCTTCTTCACTTTGCACTTCTAGTATAGCAGAGATTGCATAGATGCTAATAGATGCATTAGATACTAATGTGTTTATATAAATTACATTTCCGTAATTTGATTGAGCTGAAAACCTCATTTTTAGGGACACCAGCCGCCACATAAATCAAATACAGCAATTGGAAAAAAATTGGTATTTCTCTACAACTAAAACCATTAACATTTATTTCATGAATAGACGTATTTTTATTTCTACGTTTTCTTTCTCTTTCGACACGATTTATGATTTCTTTTTCCACACATTTATATTTACACATGTGTAGTCAACTCTTGTGTTTCTAGCTTCTTAAGGTAACAATATTATGAACTTATTGAAAGGCAGCAATTGCACCTACGAAAGCAACGCGATGTCTTTGACAATGGCAACACAACTTCTTTCACACGTTCTGAAGAAACTGAATTAGGTAAACTCGTAGATGCTCTATAGCCATTTCGACAAATCGACATGTAATGATGGAAATTGTATTAGGGGCGCTCTTCTGCGGAAAAGGGAAAGCGTTCCATTGTTTGGAAAATGAAATTATGGGAAACATCCAATTGAGTCAGGAGAGTTTGCACAAGATCAGGCCGTCACATTAACCGTCGCGAGGGTCAAGAAGTCGTGAATGTGGCCTGTTGACAAAAGAAGATTTACCATGAACTTACCTACGCAGACGTTTCGAAATACTTGCCGCAACAACTGAACATAGTTGTCACAATCGCCACTCATAATCAAGGGAACTGTTAGAGCAGCAAATAGTCTTGTTTTACTACAAACATTAAAAATTCTCGCACAAACAAATACTTCAACTGCAATTACGCTATTTCAAGTTTCTTATATCTTTATAACTTTTTAATGCACTATTTGTGTGTTTTATGGCTAAATACGAAATATGGCCAGTTCGTAAATTCGTACATTAGTAAGACTGTTTGGATCAAGTTGTATGAATGATAATGAACAGATAATTTCGAACATCAATCGAGTATAATAATAATAATAATAATAATAATAATAATAATCATTAACTTTGCGCTGAATACAGTAAGGTAACTGTACACGTAAGCTTCCGCGGTTCGAATTCATGACTTCTTGGCTGTCCGGGTGATGCTGCGTCGTTGGCTGAGATGCCGAAAACTTTCCACCAGCAGTCTTATTCCTGCTGATCTGCTCTGCCTTGTCACAGTAACGTACTTCATCTACCCTTGCCACCTCTTCGCAAATGTGCATTTCATCTGGCTAAAATTTGAAGTATATTTCGAAGCTCTTTCTATTTCAGACTTTATCCTTTCATTTCGGATAATGTTAACATTAATCGGAGAATTAACAGATTCGAACTTATGTCATAAGATAGAAAACGAAGTGTCACTTAGGTAAATAATAAGTCTTAAATAAATCTTGGATGCTGTGAATCCAGTTTAATATACTTTCCCGGGGGTGACAAATTACCCCTTTTTAGTTCTTTTGTATGAAGTTATACATCCAACAAAATGTAGACATTCACGGCTGACTGAACATGTTCTTTCATTCACTGAACAAAATTTAATGAAAGTAATTAATGAAAATTCGAATAGTTCTAACACATAATGTTCAACTCGACACTCAGCAACAAAAGACTGGGACTCTCTTTTATCACCTGTAATTAGAAATTTTAAAAATTTTATCTCAGCATTGGGATGACTGGTTGTCTAGGTAATATGGACGATAGCATGGTAATGTGTATCTCATCAGAGAGCTGCGAATTTTTGCCCATTTACCTATTTTTTCTTCCATGAAAACGCAATATTTTAGGTTACTTATTCATTTTGGGGATTAGCAGTATTATCTGAGAATTGTATAAATGCCTATTTCACTAATGAATGTCTATTTTGCGTTTAAATGCCTAAATGTTGCATATTCTCGTATTTATTGATTAAAATGCAATTTATCCTTAGTCAAAAAATTAAAATATTGTACGATTTTCGTTTTTATCCTGCAGATTACAAAAAAATCCACCAGCTATCAATAAATCTATGTTCCGTTTTACTACCGATAGAGTGCGGGTATTTCGTATTCTGAGACACGTGCAAAATCACTGGTGGTTATTTTTATTTCGAATTTTTAAACACTTTTTTACTCAAAAACGTTTACAAATTTTTTCTTCAAATTTTTTCCTCGTATGTATCAAAGGAAAGTGTACAAATTAATGCAGGTTTCATTTGTCGCAAACCCTGAATTTGAAAAATGGCGCAGGTCTCATTGTTGTAGAATACTGAATTTTAGAAAATTGCAAATTTTGAAATATATTTTTCGATATAATACGAAAAAGTATGTGCTAACTACTGGTTACAACATGTGTTATGTATCAAACTTTTGAAATTTTCGAAAAATTCAGAATTAACAATGAAAAACGGATCTATGACTTCCATACAGGTGTATTTCATTCTATTCTTTAAACAAATTTCAAGAAAAAAGATGAGCCCTTTTAAGAAAATTTTGATAATTTTCCGGGCGATTGAGATACTGACGGACTGATGGACGTTTTACCGTCAATTGATTTTTCGGCATCAATGACCCACATAACAGATTCTTTAGCAACTGGATTTATCCACTTTTTCGTCGTCAGGGCTCGGCAATTACACTTTTCTGCCGAAAATTCGCTGTTTTCGCGCAGCATTACATAACTTTCTCTACACTACGTATATTACTTCGTATTTACGTACGTATGCAAGTACGTAAAACGTAGCTACTGCGATTCAACCTTTTTTGTGCAAATTGTCCAACAATGAAAGACAGGATTTCTACGATGATTTGTCAGAACAATGATGAAAGCATATATTCCATGAAAGTAACTATATTGTTTTCTTCATAATCTTTCTACCCGACAACATAAATAAGGAAAAGAAAAATATAGTGCTATCTTACATGACTATTTTGCCTGCCTATTTCTACAGTTTTTTATGTCTGTAAATCCGCCGCTTACTCATCAGTAACATTCGCCGGCCCCGTCGGGACAAAAAATTGGCTGGGCGGAGCTTTACGCAGGTCAGGTGGCTCACCTCCAGCGTATCCTTGAACTCCTCATCCTCGTCGTCGTCGTCGGCGTCGGGTGGCAGCGGCGACGCGCTGTAGCTGCTGGCAGGCGACGTCTCCAGCGACGACAGCATGCGGGCTCCTCCGGCCGCCGCGGCGCCGCCGTTCGCGGGCCCGCGCGTCGGGGACGCCTCTCGGGAGCCTGGCCAAGCACACACCACTGTCAGGGCGCGCGCTTGGGGTGGATGTTATACGGGAGGGTAACGGGTGGCGGCGTAATTAAGAAAAATAAAGAGGACGGAAATACGAAGAACCAGAGGCGGAGGACGAATGGGTAGTGGAAGAAGAATGAAACAGGGAGAAGTTGTAAAAAAGAAGGGGTAATAAGAAGGGAATGCAAATAGGGTAGGCGACTGCGTTAATAGAAAAGCACGCGTACAAAGAAGGAGATGGTGTAGAAAAATGGAGTACTGGTAATTATAAACAAGACATGACCTTCAAGAAGCTAAAGAAGTGGTGCAAAAATAGTCATGTATTTTTAATAACATTTACATAATAATATATAATTTCAACTTCTATCCTACTAAGATGTAACCTATCACTTGAAAAACTTAACAAAGAAACGTGACAGGTTGAAAAAATCCGCAAAATATTGAAACTTCAAAAGTTGAAATACAAATAGTTTCCTGCTATTGAATTCAGCGCATTGTACAATATTCTTACAAAAAGTAAAAACATTATTTATCATGGCTGGGATTCGAACCCGAGTATTCGACCCCGAGGCCACTAATCATGTGACCGAGTCTCAATAATGCTACTAAGAATTCATGTTGCGGTGATTTTAACATATTATAGTAAAATACCATTTTCAAAAAGCGTACATATAAGGATTTAAATATCTAATTAAGGAATAGCTTACATTAAGAAAGAAATACCTAGCTACAATGTTGAAGAAGAAAGCAAGTTCGAAACTTGAAATTATGTTATTTTCAAAATTCCAAAGGTTCTAACGTAAATATGACCTATAGCATATTATGGGACGAACATTGCTGTTTTCGCGCATACATTTTCAGAAAAAATGGAGTCGTTTTTAAGAAAATTTTGTTAACGTATTTTTAGATCAGTCAGATCGAACGGGGAATATGCATTTTGGATAAAATCCAGTAAATGGAGTAGGCGGTGGAGTTGTCCACTCATAGGCCGACACAGAGCGGCGGTCACAGGTCAACAGGTCGATAAACACAGTCGGGAAGGCACACACGACAGTCGGGCACGCAAACACACACTTGTATCAGTCATAAAAGAAACCTTGTGAGAGTTTTGAATGTACGCGAAAGAGATAACGGTCGTAATGTTATGTTATATCTATGGCGATTATTACTCGTCTTTTGAGGTACGAATTTGAGAAAACTAGTTATTTTTGTGTTATTGTCTAAAATAATGAAATGGAGCTTATTTCTTATATAAAGCTACTTAGTATTAAATGTGCATTCCACGGAAAGGAATTGTTTTGTAAATGAAATACCGCTTACACGAGTTGGTTTTAGATTCTTTTTCAACTCCGCATTAGCTAAAATCTCTGAAAGAAAATTAGAACGTGGGGATGAAATGATCACGTTTTAAGAATAAAATTAATTTGGACGAGTGGTTTGACATTTTGAGTGGTTTGACATTTTACTTTTTGTTTGGAAAAAGACACCAATAAATAAAGGGTGAGGGAAAACATAATGGTAATCTCCGTGGAGTGTGAATTGTTTTATAGTTTCGAAAGTGTTGTCTGTTATTACGGGTTATCACACACAGAATACAACCATGTACATAGAAAATGTGTTGACATAAAGTTTAACTCTTTAAACGAACAAGTTTATTTGAGAATTACCATTGTACTTAAATTTGGATTTTTGTAGCTTTTTATGTGAGGGGCACTATTCTATTCCATCTACACTCTTTAAATGGATACCTAGACACTCTAGTCAAATGTTCTAGGCTTATCATTTATTTCATTTGATTGATTTCTTCATTTCTTCATTTCTTCCTTCATTCATTTCTTCCTTCATTCATTTCTTCCTTCATTCATTTCTTCCTTCATTCATTCATTTCTTCATTCATTCATTCATTCATTCATTTCTTCATTCATTCATTTATTTCTTCATTCATTCATTTATTTCTTCATTCATTCATTTATTTATTCATTTATTTATTCATTTATTCATTTATTTATTTATTTAATTTGTATAGATTATTTGCGAAAGAAAAGAAATAGCTCAGAGGGATGATGCCCTATGCCCAATGAGAATGACTTGACTACAAATTCGCGTTACATAACATTTGCATAGATTCACACGGGAGACAACTTTAAGAAAAAAAGTGGCTTTCGGTCAAGGCTAGACGACGAGAGTTCGAACAAGGGTGCCAAGGGAAACTACACAGTAAAACAGGTTTGATCAGGCCATCCGCAAGCTAAAGCAGTGTATTCTTTCAGCAACCAGAGTGAAATCTGCGACGTTACAGAGAAGGAAAGTTTTCGGAGCACCACTATGATCATGAAAGGATGTTGTGTTGAGAAGCAAGATACGTGACACGCACGCAACGAAGCAATGTGGTTTCGGAAGAAAACAGAGCATGTAAACATTGCAGGAAGGACGAAATATTATTTCATTTCAACATACTATAATACTACACTTAGCTTCATTGTTACACAGCGTTAAGGTGTTACTAACCTAAAATTATTGTGCTTCTTTTCTAACGGATTATAACAAATTTAGTACACAAAAATATACTATTTAAATTATGTATTTAACTTAAACTTTTAAAAGTTGGTTAACACATCTTAGACATTATTAGTTTTAAGTTGTTAAAAATAGCATTTTTAAAGCACCATTTCAACAGCAGTTTTTAAAAAACAACAAAAGTTAATATCATTAAAAAAAGAAAAAAAGAGCGAGAGATTGTAACGTGTAGAATCTGTTGAAAATGTTTCCTTGGTGTATTTTCGTGTCTCAGCTGTAACGAACTAGCTTATTACTACCGATAAATTTACGTAATTCTTATTGAACGTATCGCTCTAATCAACGATTGATCAAGGTATTTGCTACCTTTAGTTACTGGCTTAGTTAAGGGCGGTCAAGTGTGTGGCTGCTCCAAACAGCATTTTTTCTCGGGATGTCACACTCTTTGGGCAGTAAAATAGCTACTGAACATCCTGCGTGTGACAGAACGGCGCAATATTAATTTACCGCCTACCTCTGGTTACCACCTCCGCGTTATATCTTGAAAACCCTGCATTAATGTGCGCCCCCTGACTCCAAGATGACCTATCAAGTGGTGTCAGTTTATACTTCCCTAGAGACAAAGAATCTCCCTCTGGTGCATTGCTCAACGAGTCATTTGCTTCGAGCATTCACATTGTTCAATAATAGAGAAAATGTTCCATGAAGTATCAATTTTGCCTTTTACTCCTACGAGTGATTACTATCATTTCGAACGTCAAATGAAGAATCGAATTGGCCTACACATGAATAGGCAACACTTCTTTCATGACTTTTTCCAGCCTGTTATTACATTATTTGATGTAAAATAATTGCTTTGCACTTTAATAAGTTAACATTTTATTCACTGGCAAATGAATCGTAGCACTTTTGTTCGTTCAATGTGGTCAACTGACACCTTCATTTCTATTCACACTCGTTTTGGATTTATCTTAATACAAATATTATCATTAAATTTGATTGAAGGGGAAAGTGTTGTAAAATAATTGCAGTGATACAGTTAATACAAGAAAATTAAAGGTCATACATATTTAAGGGGCACGGGAAACAGTTTCTTAACATGCTACGAAAAGAAGAAAGGTCAAAAGTTCTACATTCCTTATTTACCCATTGATTTTGTAATTTCACATATGTATAACAAAGATCTATCCCTGGCAAATTTGATTTGATGTGATGCACTCTAAACATACACCAATATATATTCTGTTCATAAATCTCTTTCAACATTCAGTATATTTAATAACAGATTCTTTAAAATGTATACATCTCAATTTTATCGTCGGAGAAAAGTGAGAAATAATTCTGGACAGCAACCAAAATTACTCGATTTGTATCCTCCTGGATGGATTTGGTATGGTATGGATTTTTCTGCGTCATAAACACTAATATTTATTAACTAAGGAGTTTGTTACACAGCGACGGTTATGCACTACGGCATACAACTTGTTTATCTGAATTTTCTTTTTCCCCATTATTCTGTGGGAGCGCAGATGCACCCTCTTGTACTCTTTCACATCGAAGCGCATGTAAGTTATCTCTAAGACACATTCGTTTGCTGCCTACCAGCGTGGACAATATGCTCCATCCTGAAAGCTTATAAGTGACACTTCCAGAGATACGTAGTAAATCTATCCGTTGAATAAGATAGTATCCTAAATGAAGGTCATATGACAGTTCAAAGGGCGATGCAGCAAGCACGTTCGTAGGTTGTTCATGTGGACCCAGGTAGATTCCCAGTGGGGAATTTACTGAACTCTAGATTTCGCAACTGCAATTGCAAATGGGGAGCTAACTAAAATTTAACGACCACGATAATAATGATATTGTTTTCTGAAACGTAATTAACATCGCATCAATTGTATGAAAATAATATTTAATTTCTAAAACTTTATATCAACATACATATATACAGTAAACACTAATAATTTAACTTTACGTTAATCAATTTCAAAATATGAAATTTTACCTAAATTGTACCCGACGAAGTTAAATGTATTGCACATATGTTCGTTGGACTTTCACTCGCACGAATGCCCCCTCGCCCTTCGCCATCCGCGCCGCCTGGGGCCTCCTCGCCGGGGCAGGGCCCCGAGGGGGCCCCTCTCGCACTCACCGAAGGGCGAGCCTCCCAGCGGGCTGCCGGGCTGCGAGCGCAGCCGCTCGATCACCGGCCCCACCAGCAGCTCCAGGTCCTCGGCCGGCACGTGGTCGTAGAACGATCCCAGGCTGCCCAGGAAGCTGGCCACGTTGTCGGTATACGACATCGTCTCCACGATCTGCGCACGCCCGCGCCCCACCGGGCCGTGCCCTGTCAGCCGGCCGTCGCCGCCGCCGCCGCCGCCGCACCGCGCCGCTGCGACCGACCGACCGACCGACCGACCGACCGACAGACATACCGACCGACCGACCGACCGACCGACCGACCGACCGAACGACCGGCCGGCCGGCCGGCCCTGTACGCTACGCTGGATCAATACGCGACAGACCTCCTTCCGAAAGGCGACAATCCCACACAAGAAGCGGTCTCAGTTTGAAGCGCTCCATTACGAGAACGACGCCACTCAAAAGATCTGTATTGTTTGTTACACAATGGAGGTACATGGAGGAGGGTGTGAACAAATCAGAGGTCACCAAAAGCAAACAAATATGGTTGAGAACAAGATGTCTTATGAGACTTGCCTTCATACATAATTCTGCAATTTGTTTGATTCTTCGACGACGGCTTTAGTCGTTATTCTCGTAAATGTTATCAATCGTAAAGGAATAAAAATAAAATGTACCAGCAGTACATTTATCGTAGCTTTAAAAATTGAAAAATACAATTATATGCAAATGGTAAATAATATATTAAAGTAAAAAATTTATTTTCAAGGCACAGAAACGTCACTCTCTACTCCAAGTTCGGAATGGCTCTGCCTCAAATAGTTTTCGTTCGGAGGAGAATGTAGTAGGTTCACGTTTAAAGAGCAATGTAGATTCAAGAACTGCATTTAATACGTATTAAATTATTGAGGACACCACTACTTTACACCACGCAAACTGGAATTTATAATGACTTAACTGACCAAATTCGATTTTGTCAGTAAAGAGTGGCAGGAATGTATTATCACCGCAAAGTTCCAATTATGAGCGGCATCCATTTAAGAAAAATGTCCTTGCTTCCAGCGTAGTCATTTTCAAAATCAACGAGTACCGAATTTGATCTACATAGTTGTACACAATGACAAAGGATACATATCTCGTTAATATGCCCGTATAAAAAATACAAATTACACTTTTGGGAAAATTTTGGCGATTTGAAAGTCTGAGCCAATCACACGGCAGAATGAAAGCTGAATACCATACCCCATCAAAATCCCATATTCAAGTGTAAAAGGGAGTTTGATTTGTTTTATGGTTTCATCAAGCACCAATACAGGTTTTAAGGCTCCGAAGTTGGGTTCCTCAGCTTGACATAATAACCTGAACTCTCTTTACGAATCACTCACCCATCTGATCATAGAGTTTTCTTGGCAATGAATAATTATACGCAATTTATTCGTTGAATTATTTCGTGCAACATATTCTTTTTTACATTTGTGTCTATAACAACTATATGCATGTACAAATTATAATACAGAATGAAAGTGAATACAAGAACAGCATATTATTGTGTAATAAGTAACAAATATCACTAAGTAATTAATCATAAGTGAGATCCATTTGGTAACAGAGCATTGAATTGAAATGGTTGAAAATTATTTTTCAAGCATCCAACAAGTCATTTTTTTTCTCTCGCGTTTAAGCATTACCGCATTTTTAAAAATCAAACATATTTAGATTATTATTATTATTATTATTATTATTATTATTATTATTATTGACGAACCTGACAAAACCATTTAAAAACTAGTGGAGCTAGAACAGCACATACTTTCTCGCATCAATGTGCAGTGTTCGAATATTCACAGAGTTCAACGGAAATGCCATGCTTTCGCTGCTGCAC